TATTTTCAGGTACCTGAGCCTCTCCCGTGAGGTCTTATAAAGTGTTATGTCATGGTGTTCTTATAAAGCACTTGCCTCCTTATTATGACCATCTTGAACATTTGCTCCCTCCTTCTTCAAGGAGTTATCTTTGGAACCGATTTGACTATTACGCTTCATGCGTGCCATAAACTCTATCCATCGTGGACGTTAGTCTATTTGGAGCATTAGCAGTTGGAATATGACATTTAGCTTTGGGTCAGCAATGTGCCTGAAAATATTTTGCAAATGAATTATCACTTGAACTTCAAGTTCATATTTTCTTGTACGAGGATCTAAGTATACTCATGATAATTCATTCCATGTATTACTTTTTTCAGCAACTCATTTTCTCCCCCTAATGTTGGGATCACCAACACATATCCCCAACCTTCTTTGGGGTCCAATCTTTGTGCATAGTGGTGGTACAATTAAATCATATAGTACATCCATATTTGTAGATGGAAATATTTGGTTCCTGACCCTGAACCAATTGTGATGGGGAGAATTTATCATAACTTGTTGGCTAGATGCGTACAAGTGTTGTTGTTTATTAAATAATATACTTAATACAAAATTTCTATTCGGGGTTTTGTTCTCATAACCAATGGTTTAGCTATAATTGGAGGCATACAATTTCTGTTAAACCAACTTGGATTTAAACCAGCATTATCAAGATAAATTATCATAATATATATTCTGGAACTGTGCTCTAATAATTTGAGCAAACAACCTTGCAAAAACCAAAGTGCAAGTTGATAACAAACGCACATGTGACCATACCATAGATGCATCTATTAAAATCATATAATAGTAAACGATCCACATGGCAGGTGATTGGGCCCATACATATATATCACCTTTTATTCGTTCCAGATATCAAGGGAGTCAATCCCAACCTTAACTAGTATATCATGAGAAAAAAAATATCACAAGAGAATTCTAAAAGAATCTTCTATTTCTTTAATATATACCAATGTGAATTCTCAATCAATTTTCACATCATAATTGAACCGGGATGGTCAACCGGTCATGCCAACTAATATTTGTTTCAATAAACCTCTAGTTTACTTATGGCATGTGATTCCATCATGATGCTTATACATCTGTAGTACAAATAGAAGAAAAATCGGGTAACCTTTCATATTTACCCGGTATGAATATAGTAATATGAATATATTCAATCTTCCTTTCATTTATAGTCTCAATATGCCAACCACTTTGGTTAATATATTTGAAACTCAAAAAGTTCCTTTTTGAGACTTACTACCACCAATGCCATGAATAACTTTATTTATTCCGGTAGTAACAAATTCGCTTTTTCGGAGCTCTCAAAAATTTTGTACTACAAGATCTTTTATACCACCATCTAAGTGGTGAATTTTTCCTCCACAGAAAAAATTATCTTAATCATTGTCACAATCAAAAACATTATAGACAAGACTCATTTCTTGCTTTACTTTTGCCTTTAATAACTTTTTATAAGGCATGGTAAAATATTTTTGGCGTACCACGTGTACGCGACCAATGACATATTTATGTAACCACATTGTAATATTGATTATCTTTATTTCTCTCAAACCTCCCTTAGAGGTGAGTTGTGGTATTTATACAACCATGCATAAGCACATTCTTATGCATAATTTTTATCACATATATATTTCAGCATTTACTTTCAGGAATGAGCCTGCATTTACAATGCTTATCACAAGTCACATTTTCAACGAATAGACTATAATCATATGAACGTGTCTCGTATTAACAGACCACATTGATACATATTCCTTCACCTTTGAAGGACCATTTTGAGAACCCTTATCGTTCTCCTTTTTACAATTACCATAATGATGATTATTATTATTTGATCTTTGGCACGCCCACGTTCATTGGTCAACCACTTGTCTTTATTTAGACTTATATGCACCGTTTTCATATTCACTTCAAGAATGGAGCAAATCAAGTGGGACAAACTTTATGTTTTTTCATGAAAAATACATTATTTTTCTTTAGTCATCATCAATATGGTGCATTGGGACTCAAACCCAATGCCTTATCCATATAAAGGCATGTTAGGACATAATGCATTGGGACTCGAACCCAACTACTTATTATCATGGTGCACTAGGACTTAAACCCAGTGTCTTACCCTCAAGGTATAATGAGACTTGAACCCACCGTCTTACCCTCAATCAATAGCATAATAGACCAAAATACAATTGAGGCTCATCCTCGGTCCTCTAAATCACTTACCCACAGGGCCACATATAATGGTTATGCATAAAACCATTCTATTATAATAATTTTATAAACATTAGTACTTCATCAATTTATGAACTCATCGCATGTAATTTTGACTTCTTTAAGATATAAATGAGATCAACTATTTCTTACAGACTCTGAAAATATTTAGTTCACAATATTATATTAAAAAAATGACAAAAATATATAAGTTATACCATTCATGAGTACTTCAAAAGTGTGAGAAAATTTTTATCGGTACTAATAACTCAAACTTTGTTACTATTATCAATATCACTAACAACAAAAAATAAGCACACAAATATAATACTAGATGCAGTGGAGGAACTATTACTAGCATAACATAAGCCATAACCCCAAGAATTCATGTAACTGACACAAACTCATACTGAAAAAAATTCAATTACCTATTCAGTTTTCTAAACTTTAATAATTTAGACAAGGTCCAGAATGAAAATTATTGAGATGTTAAATTGTCAACTCAAAAGACTTAAAAACACAACATAAGTAATGGAGCAGTAAACCTGGAGCATAGCAGACTCTCTTTCAAGTGCAACCTCACACTTACCTGCTTTTGTACTTACTAGTTATAGTAGTTATTCTTTTCTGATTCTCGTAATGAGACTAATCAGAACATAGGCGGAAGAAAAACCAAACTCAAATCTTGGTTAGAGACTCGTGCTGATAACGTATTAAGAAACTAAGCTCAAAGTAATAATATAAAACAACAAAATAGACATTAATGTAGAGAGGAAGAGAGGAGAGAATCTATTTCTTCCATGTATTCAAGTGTGTACAATGTGATACCCAAACCCTCTATTTATAGGATGATATAGGTAATACAAAGGACTCCATAAACATGGTATTAACTATTGAGAACATGGGGGAGTTACATCCATAATGGTAAGAAATAGTGGGAGGTTAATGGAGAAGAGTAGTGGGTGTTACTCCCTTAGGAGTTATGGACATTCACCGTAATCAAGTATTTCATAACAGATAAAAATTGACTAACCCATTAAATTTTTATATTAGTTGGAGTCCTAAAGCGGGTATAAACTACTGATGAAAATTTACAAAAAAAAGAATCTGCAGTTTACAACTAGAAAATAAAAAGAGAGAAAGAAATGCAACCCGTTTATAAGTAAGCACGGTCTATGACTTTCTTTTTTTCTTTTTCCTTTTGTTTTGCAGAGTTTTAAAAACAAATAAAACAATGGGAGGTATTTTTTCATGATATTCTCAATATAAAATTATCAAAATGTTTTTCCCTGTATTTCTCAAAGCAAATTGTGCGTTTTCTTTTGTTTCACAAAATTTTCAGCCAACTTTTCCATCCTACCCCTCCCTTATTACTAGTAATCCGTGGTTTGTATACTTAACTTGACGTTCTAAGTCATCCTTGGGTTGATCTTGTAGTTCCTACAGAGTTGAGATGACAGGATCTGTCTAGAATTTCTTTTTTTTTTCTTTTGCTGTATTTCACCCAAAAGGTTAAAAGGAAATAGTGCGTCAATCTATTTGCAAGGTGTATACGGTCAAAATCATATGCCTTCGATGCAGAAGCTCGAGGTTCCGCCCTAGGCTCGAGTCGGGGAGAGATCAAGTTCGAAATCGGTGAACCAGAGTCAAGCTCGAAGACAGAGCGTAGTGCCGGGAGGTAGGAGTTCGAGGAACGCCGACGTCAGGTGTGCTCGACCTCAAGATAGTACCGTTATGGATTCGTACCAGAGCGAGCTAGATTCCTGCCATGTCCCCAAAGTCATGGCGCAAATCACGGAATAAGATTGTACAATTTTGTACTAGGCGGTTAGACAGCTGTACCAGGAATATTCCCTAAATAGAAATATTCCTTATTTAGGGATCCCCATTATATAAGGGGGACACCAATCATTTGTAAAATCATCTTTTATTGAGCAAAGAATATACTCTCTACCTTTTGCCTGTTGTTCATCAGAATTGTCCCTTAACTTGATTATTCTTACTTTGATTTTCTTACCTTATTGTTCTTACTGCCTTAAGCCACCTCGAGGTCACCGTCTCGAGGTCACTGCAGATAACTAACATTGGTTTGATTCACTTCTATCTTTCATTTCTACTTCATATTTCTTGATTATTAATTGGTATTGAATTAAATCACATATCTTTAAAACCACAAATCAAGTTTAATTGTTATTCGTATTTTTCGAGGTAAACACAAGGGTCAACTTGTTCCTATTTTTCAGAATCTCATAAAAACCATAAAGCAAAATAAGCAAGGAGAATAGCGATACAATATCATATATCAAAAAATTTCGGGATATCAAAAATTAAATGCCTCAATGATCAGTAAATTGTATCTTTAAATGTACCATAACGATCCAAGAGATCAAATTATGCTGTTGGTTCATTATTTTGGTCATTATTTTCGTTTGAGCATGACAATTACAACTATAACAGGAAGGGTGAAATTCTTGTCTTAATGGGGCCTTCTAGCAGTGAGAAAACAACTATTTTTAAAAGATATGGTAAAATTCACTTAAAACTACTAGTTCAAGCCTTTCAGTAACACATACCAACTGAAGTAAAGCTTTTTCAGTGCTCTTTTAAATTCTAATGAAATAGGGAAGTTCCTCAAGCCTAACAACCTTAATTCACCATTTAACCCTAGCTTCAAATCCCATACATATTGATTAGTAACTAATTAACTAGAGTAAACAATCATTTAACCCTACCTTACGCAACAATAACAACAACAAATATGCCTTATATAATTTTAAACAAGTTGAATTCGGGTATTCATGTCACTTTATTTAAAGCCAGTTTCAATTCAATATTATAAATAACATAATTTCTCTAGCACTAACTAGAGTAAATGTAGCTAGATTATGTTGTTATAATTCTTACAAGAGTTCCTACAAATGAAACACTTGATCTCTTGCAAAACTTGATTTGCAACTTGTGAAAAAGGGTCATTTGTGAAAAACCCATGATGCATTCCTTCCAATTCAAAATAGTCAACTTCCTTCTTTAGCTCTTTCAACTTCCTTGCATAATCTTCAACTCTATCTTTGAGAAGTTCATTTCCTCCTACAATCACCAATAGTGGGTCGAGCTTTATGGACTCTAGGCTTGGGCTTAATGGCCCAAAAGGGTTTGCTAATGAATGATCTGCAGTCGCTCCAATTGGAAGTGATAGCCTCCAAAACCTAATTTTGGGTTTGGCAAATACATCGTTAGCCGATTATAGAGCACAATTCTAAATTTCCAATCTAATCATGCTACGAGTGAGTGGGTCCATTTAAAACGTGGGCCACCCCTCATTAGCGACCATTAGGGGTGACAAATGAGGGGTTGGGTCCGATATAGAACGGGTCAAAAACGTGTAACGCGAAAACGGATAAATTATCTGACTCGAATCCATATTTCTTACGGATAAAAATCCATATTATTCATGACTTATTGAATATAATCACTTTTGGAGAATTCTTAGTCTCCCAAACTTGAAGAACTCTCAATTTGAGGCTTTACAAATAAAAAAGTTAAACCCATTAGTTATCCACTGGTTATCTATTTTCTAAATGGATTGTGATTTTTATCCATATTCAATTCATTTTTAAAAAGTTCAGTATTCAACTACCTTTTTAATGGATAATATGGTTGGATAACTGTTTTATTTTATTCATTTTGCCACCATTAGTAACCATCATGAAATTTCAAACTAATAAACATATACTATATAGTATATAAGTATTAAAAAGGAATCAACGTTTCATGCTGGGTTCCCCCCCCCCCACCCCCCCCCCACCTTGATTTGCATGACTACAAGAAAAGAAACTAGCTAGAAAGACAAACGATAATATGAAACTAACTCAAGAACGATATTAAGATATGAAGTCCTATTTTCCTTGGAATGCTACAGTGCAAATAAAAAAGTACATCCTTTTAACAAACTTTAATCTAGTTTTTACTTTGTCTAACAATGCAACTCATTTTTTGCTGGATAATGTAGAAAATCTTCACATATATCTAGGCTCGTTGTTTCGGGAGGGAGGAATAATAAAAGAAGATGTTACTCATAGAATTAAATTGGATCGAATGGTTAAAATAGAGAAGTGCTACATGAGTGTTATTTGATAGAAGGATGCCTATCAAAATAAAAGGTAAATTCTACATAACAAAAATAAGACGGATCATATTATATGGTAGTAAATATTGGCCGCTAAAGTCCAACATATCCATAAGATTACATAGACGTAAATGCTAAGATGAATAGGGAATTATATAAGATAAGATAAGATAAAAAATGATCACATTGCAAGTAGCACACATTAACAATAAAACAAGAGAATATCGTTTGAGATGCATTAGTCATGTTCTACGAGGACCTACCGATGCACTAGTCCATATAGGTGCATCAGTTCATAAAAACAACCTTTCCCAAAATTCTTCATTAAGTTAAAACTTTTATACTCTCATTAATATGTGACACGAATATGTAGTGCTCATCAAATAAATAAATAAATAAATAAAGAACATGTTGTTTTAAGCTAGAGAAAACAATATTCATTTAGCTCATACATATCCTTAAAGCGTGATTTTATCTAATAACTGTTGAGATAACCTGGAGAGAATCATTTTCCTCTTTATCCAAATCCAATAATGGGTAAATTAATAGATGGTGATATTAGGTGAACTTGGTCCTACCAAATCTTCTTAATGTGGATATCTTCTATTAAGACATAAGCTCGCCAAATTTAGATATACTATTTAATTTGCACGAGTTCACGCCATTACCTAATATAAACTTTCCGTCTGTTCTTTGTGATTATCTAGTCATGCTCACACAGAAAATGAGCATCTAACATTCCAATTGCATACAGTTAAGATAATATTATTTATTTGAGATACGAATTTTGGGATTTCCCTTTTCCAATTGAGTATAACAGAGAGGGAGCTCAAGTGTTTTAGTTTCTACTTAATTATAAGTTCGAACCCATGACTCTCACTCCTTTTTACTCCAATTCAAATACTTTCTGAATTCAAGATAAAGATACATACAGATTCAGCATATCTTCCAAAACTTTATGTTCTTTGGAATCAGAGGGGATTTAGGATTTAAATCATATAATTTAATTTTTAAGATTTTTAGAATTAAACCCACTATATATATTTTTTTAAAGTTATGAATCCATATTTACTATTTATTACAATTTTAGGACATTTCGCATCAAAAGTTATGGGTTTAGTCTTAATGCTACATACACCCCTGTATGGAACAGTAGAGTTACGTACCTCTTAGAATTCATAGAATTAGAAGAAAAAGTGTAAAAAAGGAAGACAACGAAAGACGATACTAAAGTACTTATATTACTTGCTAAGCAGTAGTTCAATGATATTTAATTTTGTGACGACTCGTCTACTTACATTATACAATCTTATGTTAGTCCATGACTCCATGTTGTAATATCACTTTATTAAAGTTCATATACAGAAATATAAGAAAGAAAACAGAAAAAGAAATAGTAGCAAATTAGGTGGAATGTGAGAATTGTGTAGGCTAGAGGTGGGACATGAGTAACGGGAATAGCTTTTGGCAATAATCATGAGTAGCAAATAGTGCAAGTAAAGTTTTACAATTTGACAGCAGCAAAGAGTCAATTACTCAAATGGTCACTCAACTATCGTTTGGATTGGCTTATTTTAAGGGCTTTTAAGCCAAAATAACTTTTAAGTCATTTTGTGGTGTTTGGATAGAGTAAAAAAGTGCTTTTAAGCCCTTGTTTTTAAGCTAAAATGACAAAAATAAGCCAAAACTCAAAAGCTAGAATTCCTAACTTATGGCTTAAAAGCTATTTTGACTTAAAAGTCACTTAAAATAAGCCCATCCAAACGGGCTCTATCAAATTATCTCCTAAAATTACTTTTCTTTTGTTTGTAACAACAAAATCACTGAACTATGCCTATTGTACTCAGAAGGTCACTAAACTAGATTTTCCAAATTCTGGATTGCTAAATATCTATTTACCCTCTAAATTATAAATATTTATCTTCTTTTATTTTTTTAACTTTTTAATATTATAATTTTCCCTTTTAATTTATATTATGGACTTACCTATAGAATAAATAAATATTATTTATAAATTAAAAAAAATAAAAAGTATTTAAGCATCTATAATGCTGGAATAACAAAATCATGAGAATAGTAAAAAAATTAATTAGAATAATTTGTTCGTAATAATAATTTTAGTATTAATAACAAAATTCAAAAAAATATTTTACACAATTCAGAATGAAAGAAAATAAAGATTGTAAAATATATATTCCATGCACGTAATATAAAAATAATTATTTAAATAAAATTATTTTTTATAATATATATTATATATTCTTGAAAATTATGCTCAATTATATTATATATATTCCATGCACAACTTAACGTAGCATATTTTACCCTATATAGATAGTCCCCCTGCTTTCCGGTGACATAACTTTGTGTCATTGGAAAGTTGGTAGAAACATAATAATATAATTGAGCATAATTTTCAAGAATATATAATGTATATTATAAAAATACCTTTATTTAAATAATTACTTTTATATTAGGATGGAATATATATTTTACAACCTTTATTTTCTTTCATTCTGAGCATTATTTATTAGAAAAACAAAGTTTTGTATAAGTTAAATTAACATCTTAAATTTTGTATATAAAATAAAAAGGCAAGGCGAGTATGCCTTTTAATAGTTTGCATTCTACTCCTATTCTGCTGTCAATTTGTAAACTTTATTTACATTATTCCTACTTCATGATTATTGCCAACTATCTCAAATTATCTCCTAAAGTCACTTTACTTTCGTTTGTAACAACAAAGTCACTGAATTATGCCTATTGCACTCAGAAGGTCACTCAACTAGATTTTCCAAATTTTGGATTGCCAAATACCTATTTTACCCTCTAAATTATAAACATTTATCTTCTTTTTATTTTTTTTAAACCTTTTTAATATTATGATTTCCCCTTTTTAATTTATATTATGGACTTACCTATAAAATAAATAAATATTATTTATAAATTAAAAAAATAAAAGTATTTAAGCATATATATTGATGGAATAACAAAATAATGAGCATATTAAAAATTAATTAGAATAATTTGTTAGTAATAATAATTTTAGTATTAACAACAAAAATTACAAATTTATTTACACAATTCGTAAGGAAAGAAAATAAAGGTTGTAAAATATATATTCCATGCATGTAATATAAAAATAATTATTTAAATAAAAGTATTTATAATATACATTATATATTCTTGAAAATTATGCTCAATTATATTATATATATATTCCATGCACGGCTTAACATAGCATAGTTTACCTTATACAGATAGTCCCCCTACTTTCAGGTGACATAACTTTTTGTCGTCGGAAGTTGGTAGAAACATAATAATATAATTGAGCATAATTTTCAAGAACATATAATGTATATTACAGAAATACCTTTATTTAAATAATTATTTTGATATTACTTGCATGGAATATATATTTTACAATCTTTATTTTCTTTCATTCTGAATTGTGTAAATAAATTTTTGAAGTTTTGTTGTTAATACTAAAATTATTATTACTAACAAATTATTCTAATTAATTTTTTTTTTACTATGCTCATTATTTTGTTGTTCCAGCATTATACATGCTTAAATAATTTTTATTTTTTTAATTTATAAATAATATTTATTTATTCTATAGGTAAGTCCATAATATAAATTTAAAAAGAAAAATCATAATATTAAAAAATTAAAAAAAATAATAAAAGAAGATAAATATTTATAGTTTAGAGGGTAAAATAGGTATTTGGCAATCCAAAATTTGGAAAATCTAGTTGAGTGACCTTCTGAGTGCAATAGGCATAGTTCAGTGACTTTGTTGTTAAACAAACGAAAGAAAAGTGACTTTAGGAGATAATTTGAGATAGTTGAGTGACCATTTGAGTAATTGACTCGATAATTGTGAGAAGGAAAATAACTTTCGCAAGAGAAGTTATTTTTCTCCTTTTGATGAAAATTCTTTATACAATCAAACACCAAAAAATTACTGACTTATAAATATATTTTCCTTCCTACCAAATACACTCCAAATAAAGTTGAAATTAATTTTGGAAAAAGCATTTCAAATCCAAAAAGAGAGTATCTTTCGAGGGTATATTCCAAGAAAGTCACATCTTCACTACTCATGGGGCTAACACTTGAAAGTTGGAAATGGCAAGTACTGAGATGTGGCCTATAGTTAGTTTAGTAGATTTTCCCTCGACACCATAAGCCAATGCTTCCACAGCCCACCAAGAGTCAAATTTTTCTAACATTATCTTTTGTTTTTATATCCCACTAAAGTTTTTATCAATCCTTATCACAATAAATCCTTATCACAATGATAAGGTTCTGTCATTTTCATTCTAAAGAGCCTAATAAGATCCCATTCACACTCTTTCTTCATATAGTGCTTATGAAGAATGTGTAATTACCTTTCTTTTAATCATGTATATTTTAGATTTTCCTAGATGGGATTTTTCTGGAGTTGATTGACTACCACCTACTTTCCCATTTCCATTTATGTGGCAGTGCTTAACTTAAACATAAAATTTAAGAAACAAAGAAATACTTTTATAACTTGCGGTCTTAAATTTGTCATGAGATTTTTATGATTTTAAAGGCTTTTTAGTCAATATCTTAAAAGGCGGAGGCGTGAGGCGAGACGTTTTAACTCTGATGAGGTGAGGCGTAAGCCCTGAGGCATGGGGCGTAAGTCCCACGGATCATTAAATTATACTAATTTCAAGAATTTTAAGATAGTATAAAATAAAAAATAATTACAAAAATTGTTTTAAAATCATAAAATTACAACAAAATAATTACAAAAATTACATTAAAATCACAATACTATAATAAATAATCTATTTAAAATATTTATAAATTATAATTCAACTTTGAATAATGCAAAAAGTATGGCATATATCATAATATGCAAATCAGCTGCAACGTCGTTACAACTCAAACATCAAAAGTAATGTATTCGATACGAAATCTTATATGTATCTCTTAAGGAGTAATGAATTTTGAAAGAATTTCGATATAATTTTATATTTTTCTTAAAATACTCCTTTTATTTAATATGCTTTCTATTTGAAAGAGAATTTATATAAAAACATAATTCACAATTTAAATATGATTCTCTAGCATCATTTATTTTTAAGTTTCAACAAGTTAATAAAGTGATATATAATTCACCATGCAATACCATGATAGCTAATTATTTATTAATAGTTACCAGCTAATACTAATCTATTAAATTAATAAGTATTGTATCTCATAAACATATTAAAAATAATATTTAGAAAAATAATTATAAAGTTATGAACCATATTATATAGTAAAGACGTAACAAAAGTTAATAATACTTTTTAAAATAAAAGATTTATTTAAAATTAACTATCATAGCAGTCTTAGTGGATAACGTGCAATTATTTTTATTTTAATTATGACATTAAATACACTCAACTTAATGATTTATGATTAAGAAAAAAGTATTTTGAATAGTCAACGATTTATTTAGAAAATATAAGGATTTACAAGGTTAGTTACATAGAATTGCATAAAGTTCTATTAGGCGAGCCCGGTACACTGGGCATTGGGTGTGTCCAGGGCGTAAGTCCTGATGGCCGAGGGGTAAGTCTCACGGAACTAAGCCCCACACATAAGCCCAGGGGCGTTTTACGAGTGCTCCGCCCCGGGGCGGCACCGGGCGAGTCCTAACTATGCCTTTTAAAACAGAGATTTCAATAACAACGAATTAAGAAGTTTAAAGTTAAATTATACTATTTAAAAAAAAAAAAAGAATGTGCCAATAGTACTTTTTAAACAAACTAATATGAAAATAGGACCACATAGAATGGAACTGGTGGATTATTTTGTATGTGTATCATGAGTTGTCACTATCTTAACTTTTTACAAATATCTTAGAAGTTTTCTTTTATAACTTGATTAACACTAGTTTCTGCATAAAGATCCTTGTTAAAATAAGCCACAGTTAATAAATATGTTGGGTATCCCGCATTTTATGTAAATCCACATTGATTATTAAATAATTCATTGGATTTTCAATTAATTAACTTGACAGAAGAGAAAATACGTGCTTATATAGACAAGGTACATAGATTTTGGTTCAAACTGCTCAATAATTGAAAGAGAAGAATAAAAGATGTTCTTATTAGAAAGCTAGGTATCACAGTCACGATTTTAAGAATAAACTAATCAACTGATTTTGTATTTATTGGGAAAGGACTGTATTCGTGCTAAGATGATGTTGATGTAAAATCTTTCCTAATTCTTTATATAATCTTGGTCAAAATATATTTAACGTATAAACGCAAAAAAATTCTTTTAATAGGGTTTCTTCCTTTTTATCCAAATTAATTATACGGCGGCTAGATCTATCTAATTTCTTATGTCAGCTTGCACTAAGGTTTTTATATCAAAGACGACGTAAAAGTAATCCCACAGTGTGTGCATGCGTGTATATATATATATATATATATATATATATATATATATATATATATATATATATAAACTCGAAATATACTAAAAACATAGACTTGGCATTACTATAATGTACATAGTCAATGTTTTGGAGTTCCAAATGTATAGAGCATTGAATTTCTTTAAGTTTTGAAAATATAGATATACCTACTTATAAAATCAAAAGGTATTACCTATTTCGTTTTATTTGATGTGACTCTTTTCTTTTCTAAAAAGAATGATAATTTTATATTTATGCTATTTAATATTAATTTTTTTGTTTTACTCTTAATGATATAACTTTAAAGTTATATTTTTTTTCCTCTTAAACTCTATTTCAGTCTAATATAAGATGAAATAATAAAGAGTGAAATCAACAAAATTGACAAATTAAAACAACTAAGTGGAATGTTCCATTCGGGATGCAAGAAGTCCATGCGCTACGCTGAACATCATTCAATTCTTTGACCGTATTCTTACTCTTAGTGGCCATTGATTCCATGATAATGACGATGATGGTTAAAATAGTACAATTCCTAGTAATTAACTAGTCAAAATAATCTTAAAAGTTTTTCTTGGCCCTCATGAGTCATGACCATGCAAAAAACTAAAAAAGAAAAGAATAGAAAAAGGAGAAAAGACAAAAATTAAATATAAGAAAGAGTTGAATACCTGTCAAGAATTTCCACATTCAAGAAAGGTTCAGCAGGTCCCTCAGCTTCAGACTTAGTCCTCAAACTTCCCCCGAAAAATGGCGCCATGAGAACATACCCCCGTACTCTAACCGGCGCCAGCTCGGGCGAGCCAACCCCGAGCCTCAGGGACAAATGGTGCGCCATGTTCCCACCAGATGAGTCTCCAATTACAAAAACCTGATCAATTATTATATCCTTCATCCAAGAATCAGGCGTTTCTGACAACGCCTGATTCTGTAGCCACTTCATGGACGTAAAAGCATCGTCCATGGCAGCAGGCAGACGAAACTCGGGCGCCAGTCTATAGTCGGGAGCGATGACAAGCGCTTGTAGGTTAGAGGAAAGACGGAGGCAACAGTTATGACAATTAGGCCACGTACGTGAACCTACACAGAAACCTCCACCATGAAAAAAGTAGACTATTTTGAGCTTGTTTGTTAGTTTAGGTTTGTAAAGACGGAGATAGAGATTGTTTTTTTCATCGTAAAGGCAATCTTTCCAAACGACAGAGCCATCGTCTTGGACAGTAATTTTGAAGTCAATTTGGTCGTCACTTGATCGGAAAATGGAGCCATCACTATAAAGTTGAAGGATACCTAAACAGTCTTCTACGACATGAGGAAGAGAGCCCATATTTATGTGTATATTTGTTTGTGTGTGAAGTTTTGGTTAGGAAGATATGGATGGCACAGAGGTGAAGGAAATCTGGAAATGAGGACTATAAATAGGGAGCATAAACCAACGGATGTGGCTCAATTGGACTATCTTAAGGGTCTTTTTGGTAAAATTAGTGCTGAAAATCGGCCACCACATGCAAATGTATAAGTTGCACAGGGTGTGGAATGAAAATTTCCAATGTGTCAGCCAGAAAGAGAACACAAAATCTTTTATTTTTCGTTTGAGGTTCTGGAAAAGAAAAAGTGGGCGAAAAAACCACTCTTCTTACACGTGCATGGCCCAAAACGTAGTTTTGCAAAGTCGGTGTCAACATCTCGGATAAATTTTAAGTAGTTCTTCTTGGTAATTAACTACCACTCCTATGGTTTATCGTAAAAACGGTACAATTAAATTTGCATCGTGGTTTATAAATACGTGTATTAAATTGATCCGATAAAATAAAATAATAAAGAACAAAGCGATTAAAATAAAGAAAATTGAAGAAAAGACAAGCATGTGCTTTAGAATGTTCCCACCCGAATCAAGAATAACTTAAAAATCTCGGTACACTTGTGTAAAGCTAGAGAGAAAAATACTAATCTTTTGCTATCAGTATTTCTTGATGTCTTACAATAGAATGAAAATCTCTATTCATAATAGAGCTATGATCTACCAATTGATTACTAATATTAATGCTACAATAAAAGGAAGTAAAAAGGCAATAAAGAATATTAAAGGGTAATAAAGCCTAATAAAGGCTAATAAAAACGAGAGAAATCTTGGGGTTCTTTTGTAACGTTTCTGCAACGGTCATATATTGAATTGCTTCTTATCCGGCCACAAGTTTGTATCCGGTGTCAACATGGTTGAATCACTGCTGATTGACACATGTTGCTTCCTAATTCACTCATCTTCTGAGATCGATTTTCACAGTATACAGATAGTCCCCCCCACTTTCTGATTACTCACTATGATGTGACCGGGAAGTGGAAGTTTTCCACCCTCGTCATTATCTCATTAAAAACCTTGAAAGAAAACCCAATCAGAACAAAACCTGGGCGAAGGAAAAAAGAGTGCAGAACTTAGGGATTCAAATGACAACTCCACCACTTATTATTCTTTTGTCACGACCCGAAATTTCCACTCTCGGAACTGTGATGGCGCCTAACATTTCACTTGCTAGAAAAACTAACATTAGCTATATTTATTAACTATTTTTTACAATTCAAATCAAATGACAACAATAAAACTGAATAGTCTGAAATAGAGTAATAAACTAATAAACGACGTAATCCAAATACAGTCCCAGAAACCGGTATCACGAATACATGAGCGTCTAAAGTACTACAGATAATGGTCAGAATAAAACATAACAGTCTGAATCAAAATAAACAGCTAAGATAAAAAAGAAGGGGACTTCAGGGCTACAGACACTGTGCAGCTATACCTCAAGTCTCCAACAGAAAGTTAGATCCGGACAATCTCACACAGCACCGCTGAGACCCACTCCGGTATCTGCACAGAAAGTGTAGAGTCTAGTATGAGTACAACTGACCCCATGTACTTTATAAGTGCCGAGCTTAACCTCAACGAAGTAGTGACGAGCCAAAGGCGGGTCAGTTACAACAATTTGTACACAATAATAATAATAACAGAAAAGACAAGAAAATGGAAATAAAGCAGTTAACGCATAAAAAGCAAACTCGAATCCAACTACTAAAGAGTCCAGAACAATAACTTTTATAAACTCATCTCAAAATACCGAGGCAAATCCAAAAGTCACAAACAAATACAACATATACAATCCGCTGCGATGCGAACCCGATCCCACCATAGCATCATCTGCCAATATCATAATCCATCCTTATTCTGTAATTTCAATTCATTACCTTTCAATTTGCGTTGCGGCATGCAACCCGTTCTCCAAACAATTTCAATCAACAATAGCAATTTAACAACCAAAATTTACAAGAATTTCAACATCAAAAGAGTAAAGGTACGAGGCAATGAAGAATCACATAATAATCAAAGAATATCTAGCAACTCGAATGTCTCAACCTTACCAACTCATCGGTATCTATCAAATAGATAACTCATATAAGTGAAATCACGTTACGGAAAGCAATAAATATCGCAAATGCGGTCAGGAACTTCGCAAATGCGAAGCAGACTCAAGAGTACACTAATTCGCAAATGTAACTCTGAGATTGCAAATACAACCTTTGAAGTTCGCAAATGCGAACATGTTCATTAAAAATGCAAGATACCCAATCCAGCCCATGCTTGCTGTCACGCCCCGAACCCGGGGAGCGCGACCGGCGCTCAACCGAGTGAACCCGGTCAAGCAAGCCGTTTAATTACTTTCTACCCAAGCTCACTCATGATTAGAGAGAATACGTTTTTCATTTATTAAACAATAGGGGATCATATAGACAATACCAATTCATTACCATTAGTTACTCTGTTTACCAAGTCTCAAAATACACGTATTTTCATGATTTGAAGTGGAGCAAATGATCAAAACACAACATAACTTGTTTGACTTTCCCATCACCCATATACAACCCACACTATGTCTACAGAGCCTCTACTAAATACTAAAGAGTAATATGATAGTGCCGGCAACAAGGCCCCTGCTATACCTCAAACACAATACACAAGGAACAAAAGATACATGACCCCGAAATAAAGTGGGGCTCACCAAGTCAGCTGGGAAGAGGGTGTACTGCTATCACTGGTCAATGACTCCTGTTGTGGAACCACCTGCATCCATTGAAGATGCAGTGCCCCTGGTAAAAGGGACGTTAGTAAATATGGAATAGTACTAGTATGTATAACTAAGCACCCTCCCAATAGAATGAGAAATAATACAAGGAGGAACAATCATAAAATCAATAGAAGCCTCAAAAAATATCAAAACATCAAGTTAAGAACCACATAAGTTTTCAAGTAAATTTCCATGTTTTTACGTTGGGGGATCTTTTACTACCGATATACCATTATTCACAATACCACCATACTTTTACACGGAGTCTGATCACGACCCGATCGGCTAGGCCATCTCATTTGAGACATCAACTACAACCACAATTTCAATTACAATTTCTAGCACAATCACCACCATGTGTGCGGCATGGCGTCCGATAACGACCCGATCGGCTAGGCCGTCTCACCCGAGAAATCATCCCTTTCTATCAACCATCTCATTTCATACTCCTTTCACATCTTTTCAATTCACTGGAACTAGTAGCCACAATTATAATATCATTTGTGGCACTTGACCGTGTCTCATATTTCATGCTCACCCTTTTCACTTTCAAACATCATCATCATTATCAACAACAAGCATTTTTCAATTCAAGAATTTAAGTACACATATGAACAATTAAGAGTCTGGCATAATAACCTTCATTCAAACTTGACTTGAAGTCGTAACATTCTTAACACACAGCCCATACTTTGACACACATTCTCAAATTATAGCATAGCACGACAAAAGCATTTGGAGCATACATTGAACATATATCTTTCAACACAAGTTTACTCGGAATAGCCAGTTTCATAATGACCAAATCAGGTCTTACATAATCTTACATGAACACCGTGGGATTAAATTCTAAGAAAGGAGTTTATCCAAAATACCTCAATTGAGCTTCCTTAAACTCTAAAATATTCCGGAATTTTTAGCAACTTCAATCTATTTTAGAAATATAACAAGTTGAACCAAAATTAGGAAGATGATCATGGTTCTAGCTCATTTGAGCATTTTATCAAACACAAGGTGTGCATTAAGGTTTCAAGGTCCTTTTATGGAGGATTCCATCATCCCACAACCCATTCTTTACCATTTTTAGCTCACAATCTTCCTACACCCTTTGATAACACATGCATGCAAAATAAATAACTCCCATACCCAAGAATTGTTTTGCTAATTACCCATCTTTAGTTAAATTTCCAAATTATGGGCTAGGGTGTAGAATCCTACCTCTAGGATGAAGACCTAGTGAGTTTTCCTTGTTAATCTTCAAAGATTTGAGCAAGAATTGAAGGACAATTTGTTGAAGATCACTCTCCCACTGTAGGTCACCCTCTCACTCTCAACATATTAGGTTTTAGCTAAAAAATGGTCCATTGCGTCTATTTAACGAAGTACGGCCGGGTTATAAAAACCCAAAAATGAAGCTCCGAAACAGGATCTTCGGTCGTATATGCAACTGCACAATGCTTCTGCGGACCGCAAAATGGGTCGCAAAATGGCCCTTAGGAACTGCGCAAAACTGACTGGGTATGCAGTCATTATGCGGCCCATAGACCTGTTTTGTGGTCACACAACGCATTGCAGACCTGTTCTGCGGTCGCATAATCGACCGCAAAAAGGGCATCCAAACTTGCCCATTTCTGCTTCACTTTGCGGCCATTCTGTGGTTGCAAAGTGGACCGTAGAAATGCCTGACTCTGCCAAAAAGTTTCTTTTACTCCCCAACGCACTGTTCAACCCAAAAAGTCTATACCGGGGCTCACAAGCTCGCTGCGAAGAATATCTACAATCCTTAACACATAAGTCTACCTCGGCACCACGAAATCCCGGGTTTTTAGGCAAAATTTTACGGGTCCTTACATCCTCCCCCACTTAAGATCATTCATCCTCGAATGAGGGTCAAAGTTCACAATTAGCATCTGATGCGACTCAACTGTCGTACCACACACCAGCAGTTCCCAAATTTGACTAACTCCCTAAATTTCCAAAAATTTTGCCAGAGTTTCAACTGTAACTGGGCCTATCCACCTGCCAGGGAACCCCAGAAACACATCCTAACAACATATACATAATCCAATGATGTAGCATAACACAAAACAACACCAACCGTGGCCTCATAAGCAACATTAACCAGAAAGAAAAACCTTTACATCAACTGAACAAGTGATAACAAATTCATAGGCGACAATTTCATAAAAAGATTACATAGCTATTCAAACAAGTAAAGATTCTTCTTCTTCATCTCTTCCTTGGCCTCCCAAGTAGCCTCTTCAACCTACTGGTTTCTCCATAACACCTTCACGGAGGCAATTTCTTTATTCCTCAACTTTCGACTTGCCTATCAATAATGGCAATTGGAATTTCTTCATGTGACAGTTCTTCATTAGCCTCAATAGTCTCAACTGGTACGATAAGCGACTATCTCCGGCTACTTTATTCAACATAGACACAT